TACAGAAATCAGGCAGTAATTTAGATCAATAGTTTCACAAAAAGGTATTAGTGACACAGATAAAGAAATCTGACCTCAGTACCAGACATGGAAGAAGACAAACTCTCATTTTCAGTGTAGTTTCACTGCATAAAAAAAAACGCAGCTCCAATACAACACACGTAAAAAAAGACATTGCTTTTTGTTCATCAGCAATTCAGATCTATCAGTTCAACTCTCATTTAGGGACTAAAAAATCCTATACGTTCAGAACAAAAAATATTTATTTAGTTTGAGCTTTTGATGAACCAGTTAAAGCGTCACACGAAAAAATATAACTAACCGCTGTCTAAGATGTACAACAAAACACAGACTGTCTTCAAAAAGGCATTAAAAGTGCCAATGTAAGCCACTCGTTAATTCAATATAAGCCATTACTTTGAGGAACGAGATCAAGCTTATATATTGCAGACGAAGGTTCATTAAATCCGCTCAATTCACGAAGCAGATTTTCGTCTTTGTCTTTAAGCGTCTTTTATCCAGGGAGGTTTTTGCTGAGCACGCATGCTCTTTTCCAGTTAAACCCTGTTCCTCATTAGCACCAGTGCATGGATTCACACCTGGGAGCTACCGAGTCCAACTACAAATCTTTTACTGCTTGCAAATTAGCATTTCAGTTTAGGTCTTTGGGGGGGAATCCTGCTTTAAATTAATTCCCGCCCATAATCCATTTAGAATTGAGCATCTGCAAGTGTCTATATAAAAGATTGTATGGTGCTTGTTTGTGGAGCGAGGTGGCAACGTCCCCAACATGGATTCCAAGGATGACAAAAAATCTGAACACAAAACGTTTTCGAATATATATATATTTTTTTACTTCTTTATTAATGATAAGTGGTTTTTTTTGTTTGTTTGTTCAAACCATGTGCTTGTGTGTAGGGGTTGTTCGTTTTGTTCTCGTATTCAGCATAATTAGAAGTCTCGCTTCCTTTTCTTCACTTTTCTACCTCATCCCCCTCTCCTCTCTCACCTCTGTCCCTCCAAGTGAGGAGTCCTGAATCATCCTTTCATTCCTGCACAATGATGAACGAGAGGGAACTCGCTCCTTTTCTCAATGTTTATTCTGCCTTCAGTCTCTGCCCGTTCGTCGCCACTTAGCTCTCTTTATTCGCTCTGTCCTGTATCCCGGCTTTTCGATTTAATGAAGTTACCCTATTTAGATACAGCCTCTTAGATACCTGAGTGACAGTCAACCTGTAATGAAATTCATCTTGTTTTTCTGTGTGGGTCTACGATTGGGCCTAATTTGGAGCTTTGCCAAACTTATAAAGGCACTGTTGAAAATATTATATATGCATATCAATAAAAAAAAAAAAACAATACTCAAATCCATGCTGTATAAACATGTTTCTTTGACGTAAACGCTTGCATTTATTACTTTGTAAATTGCCCCCATTGTTCACCATCCCACCTTTGAAAGTAATAGTTTAGATTTGTTGAAGCAGTGTTTTACAAAAAGCTTTTATGACCTTAGTTTAGCATAAAAGAGTTTGATTCTGTCATTTTGAATTCAGCTAGTCATTTCGTAAAACCCTGCTTCAACAAATCTAAATTATTGCTTTCAAAGATGGAATGGTGGACAATCTAAAAAGTAATAAATTGGCAGCACGATGGATTAGTGGTTAGCACTGTTGCCTCACAGCAAGAAGGCACTGGGTTCCATCCCCGGTTGGACCTGGGGTCTTTCTGTGTGGAGTTCGCATGTTCTTCTCGTGCTTGCTTGGGTTTTCTCCGGGTACTCCAGTTTCCTCCCACAGTACAAAAACACGCATGTTAGTCTGCCTTCAGGCTCAGGCCTGCCTTGCAAAAGAGAGATGTGATCTCAATGGGATTTTCCTGGTTAAATAAAGGTTAATAAATAAATAATTAATAGAGCCAAGACATAAGTGAGTGATGGCTAAAACTCCTTCATTCTTGAATGTTTTGCAGTGGTCCACACAAACACCATTTCAAATTCCTTTTATTTTTCTGTCATTTTGCGTTACATAATTTATATTGGTAAAAAATAATGATATTCCTGCAGTAAGCACCCCAACTAGCTGCTGCTGCTAGCTGAGCTTTAAAAGGACCACATGATTCTATGTAAATAGCCATGTAATGAGAACTGACAATTTAAGTTTATTTTATATTGCATATGCATCCATATACAGGTATCTCCAGTTTGGCCTTCCTCTGTCTTTTTCCTGGCAGTTACATTTCTATCATCCTTCTTTCAGTATGCAGTGGGTATATTGGTAGAAGGATGTTAGAAATGCAGCTGCCAAAGACAAAGAGGAAGGCCAAAGATGGATGCACTTAGAGAGGACATAGAGGTAGTTGGAATGAGGATCGAGATGGCGGAGGATGACTCATGGTGACCCCTGAAGAGCGAAAAGCCGAAAGAAGAAGAACAAAAAGATAAAGTTTGTTTTATATAGCATAGTTAAATAAACGTAACTTTTAACTTTGGTCCTTTTGAGCTAGTAGTTAGTCATTTTGTCCAAAATCAAACTTTGTTTCTCCAAACTCAAGATATCCAGAGAGCTACAAGCAGTAAAATATAAATTGTTATAAACATTTCCACTGAACTCCCCTTTCAAAAAATTTGAACTTTCGCTTCAATTCTGTGTGAATAGCGTTGCCCTCCGATAGTACCAGCATAGATATTTATTCAGACATAAAAATTCTACTTTTGCTTGGAACCAAATACACTCTCTTGTGTCCTGATTGGGCAAACATGACAGTTCAGTTATCTTTCTGGGTTTTTTTATGCCGTGCTTGGTCTTCACAGTGTTTATAGGAATAGGCTGGTAGGAGAGCCAGTGGCAAAACAGTGTAGCAGGGACATACTTACAGTATTTGCACAGTACTATTCTCTAAAATGGCTCTGCCTGTCTCTTCCAGTTTCTTAGCATCTTGTATTTGATTGGTTGTGAAGGGATAGATATATTAGCCCTTAATTGTAGCCCAGACTGCCATTGGTCATTATATCTGTTACTGTAATTGTCCAGGAATTGTCAGGGTAAACAAGGGCTGGAGAGAAACACATTCTTAAAAACAAACACACACATATATCTGAATGCACACACTTTTTTTTTTTGTTGGGGTTCTGTCTCGGATAATTGGTTTGAAAAGCATCCAGTGCGATTGCCCCGCTGTCCCTGTGGCCCTGGCTGCCGTGGTAAATAATGAGGCTCATAAACATGAAACACAGGGGGATCATCATCCTGATTTGAGCTTTGCACTCAGAGGAGATCAATTAGGGCTGGGAAGTTCAAGGACATTAAGAACAAACATACATTGAGTATTTTTTAATAAGGCAGGTTGATTTTTATGTTAAAATATCTCCTTCAGTGCATGTGACATGTATTTCCTAACAAAAAGTGAAATAAAATATCGTAATACTTAAGGCACATATTTTGCATGATTTTACCCATTTTGTCACATAAATGACATATTTTATTTTGAACTTAGCTCAGCTAAAGTGAAACAGGAAGTGATGACAGAGGTACTCTTTGAAAAAGGGAAGTACCTGGTCTTTCTTTTACACAAACTCTGACTATTCTTTGCATTTCTCTAATAGTGACTCATAATAACCCAGTGAAACATCAAATTCTTCTTCTGTGTCTGTGTTAACCACTGAAACGCTCTGTACACATGCAGGCGTACCCCTTTATTATCACGTCCTGCTACTGTACATGAAAATATCTCACCAACTGTTTTCTTGGTGGCATAAGTTATTTTTTGCAGTACATTATTATCTTTTCAAAAAATCATTCATATTTATTACAGGTCACAGGTACTTTAAATGCATAGTGTCACTATCTCACAAGATATTTTGATAGATTTTTACTTTTTTTATCTTTCTATAAAGCAGTCAGCACTCCCGTTTAGTTTTATTGACATTTAATGTACACATCAAGAACAAAAGTGTGCCAATTAGGGGAAATATTATGTAACTTACTTAATTGCCTACAGATTCCATTCATCACGGTCATATTTTTTGGGATTCAGCAGCTACTGTTGCCTCCGCCCTCACCTATCACCACATACCAAGAGTTGTAATAAAGAGCCTGCAGCTCATTAGGATATAGTATTTGTTCTTTTTCTTCCGACAGATACCACCAAGCGTTTGTGTTCAGGGAGCTGCGTCATTTTGCAGTTGATTTTCTGCCTTGAACTTACTGTAGATGAATATCTCCTTAAAACATTAAGTAAATGCTGTTCACTCATATAACGCTGAGTCACGTTCAAACGCTAAAGCTGACTTGTCGATTCGGACACGTCGGGAGGCTAATTGATGGGCCAAAACAAAGGCATAGCCAGCGTTTGATCTTGTGGAGGCACTCAGGGCGAGTCCAAGGGAATGCTCTGTTCGCGTATTGATTTCGCCTCTAAAGTCAGCTGGAAGACTTGCTCAGAGGCAACAGAGTTTCCCAGTCAGTAGGGGGACCTGGGTTCAAATAATCCATGCTGAATGAGAGCGCCAGCGCTTGTTGGTGTTGCTCTGAAAACCGATCCTGGCCTTTGCCCTTGCTGTGAGGGAGTGTGATGTGAAAAGATTATGTAGCTGGTCACAGCTCGAGCTTCAGATATCTGAAGCTTCTGGAGCTGCACTGCAAGATGTTCTGGTAAATCCTTGTATTGGTTGTAGTTATTGCACATGTGCCCAATCAATGTTTTATATAGGCATCAAAAAGCAGGACATTCAAATTAAACCAACCTACTTAGAGTTGCCCATGCTGACTTGTAGATGTTTTCATCAATACTTGTTTCATTTATATAACAAGTGCAGAGCTGTTATTTCATTTGGGGACTTTTATGCAAGTGTGATGCCTTTCTGTTTATTCAGTGTTGGAACTGTTACACCATTAAATCCAACTTTGTCTCTCCATGCACAATTCAGCTATTAGCTACAATAAGTTGATGCTAAAGTGTTCCCTGTTGGTCTCAAAATTTGGTTTTGTGTCTTTTCCTTACAGGTTTTATCTACACTTGCGGGGGTACACTAAAAGGCCGTAATGGCAGTATAGAGTCACCCGGCTTTCCCTATGGCTACCCCAACGGGGCAAACTGCACCTGGGTCATTGTTGGAGAAGAAGGAAGTAGAATTCAGCTCACCTTCTTGTCATTTGCCATAGAAGAAGAATATGACTTCCTGTCCTTGTATGATGGACACCCACACCCTGCTAACTTCAGGACCAGGTAGGAAAAGCAATTTTGATTTTTGACGTGTACATTTTCTAATGAACACGTGTCTTTGTTTTGAATTAGCTGAATCTGTTGACTTGGGTGAAGATTGGACAATTTTTCCTTTTCTAGTTCTGGCAGTGCTGACCTTGCTCTCAGCTGAAAGTAGTTTGCTTCCCTAACTGGTTGTTGATGTGCTTGTGCTTACAACTATTGCAGAAGTGCCTTAAGTTGCTTAGCAGTGTTAGCTTTGTTGTTCATTTGTAACAAAACATACTTTCAAAAATGTTTACTATACTGCCTGACCAAAAAAAGTCACCTCCTGAATTTAACTAAGCAAATAGGTACGAGCCTCCTGTTGGATAATTACTGCATGGACGATTATCTTTCAGCTGGCAACAAGTTATTTAACCCCAACTGGTGCAATGAGCTGCTTCTCATTTCTTAAACAACCATGTTGAAAGACACATGGCGAGGTCGTGGAAAAGATGTTGGTCTGTTTGAGAAGGGTCAAATCACTGGTATGCATCAAGCAGAGGAAACGTCTAAGGAGATGGAAGAAATTACTAAAATTGGGTTAAGAACTGTCCAACGCATTATTAAAAACTGGAAGGGTGGTGGGGACCCATCGTCTTCGAGGAAGAAATGTAGCCGGAAAAAAAATCTTGAATGATCGTGATCGGCGATCACTTAAACGTTTGGTGAACTCAAATGGAAGAAAAACAACAGTATCACTCAGAGCTATGTTTTATAGTGAAAGTAAGAGCATTTCCACATGCACAATGTGAAGAGAACTCAAGGGATTGGGACTGAACAGCTGTGTAGCCTTAAGAAAACCACTAATCAGTGAGGCTAACTGGGGAAAAAAAGGCTTCAATTTGCTAGGGAGCATAAAGATTGGACTCTGGAGCAATGGAAGAAGGTCATGTGATCTGATGAGTCCATACTGACCCTGTTCCAGAGTGCTGGGTGCATCAGGGTAGAAGAGAGGCAGGTGAAGTGATGCACCCATCATGCCTAGTGCCTAGTCATCAATGTAAGATCTTGGTGAAAAATTAATGCAACACTGGATGGAAAAAGATCTTGTGACATTGCAGAAGCTTATTGAAACAATGCCACAGTGAATGCATGCCATAACCAAAGTTAAAGGTGGTTCAGTAAAATATTAGTGACCTTTTTTGTAGCAACTTTTTTTTTGGTCAGGCAGTGTAACTAAATGTCAAACTTTCTGAGGATTCGAAAGGTACTTAAAAGAATAAAAAAAATCTTGTAAATCTGTGTCACCTTGAACTTGCATCAGGCAACAACAGACACAACAAAGTTGTGACTTTGTCTTAATACTGTAAACCTAAATAATATTATGTATTTTTCAGACTATAAGGCGCAATATCAATGAACGGGTCTGTTTTCATACAAAAGGTGCACCGGATTCTAAAGCTTACTGTTTATTTTTGAGAAAATTAAAGGATTTTAAGTGCACCTTATAGTCTGAAAAATACTGTAATGTGTTCAGTATTATGTGTTTGCTGAGATTACTATTCTGGTACCAGACTGTTCTGATCTTGTGTGTTGCAGACACATCTGCTTTCAGTATATCCTGATGCATGCTCAATAATCCAGGTAGAAAAGTCTAAAAAAAAGTTAAGCCTGGTCCTCTGGACAGGTTCAAAAAAACAAACAAGAAAAATGTATAAAAGTTTCATCTTTCATCTGAAAGACGTCTTCAGTCTTTTACTAACTAGACTGAGGCAATCCTGACCCAAATAGTTCAACATTTTTAATACATTTTTGTTTTTTGTTTTTTGAACCTGTCCAGAGGATCAGACTTAACTTTTTAAAATATTTTTCTACCTGGATTATTGAGCATGAATCAGGATATTTTGAACTATTTTGGCCAGGATTTCCTCAAACTAGTTAGTAAACTACTGAAGAAGTCTTTCAGATGAAAGACAAAACAATTTTTTTTTTGTTTTTTTGAACCAGTCCAGAGGACTTGACTTAATTTTTACATGCTTTCAGTCCAGTCCTGATTACCAAAAGTAAATAATTTTGTGATAATTCACAGTTATTGCAGTATTCCTACACCAAGAGACTCAACAATCTAATGCAAATGCCTTCCTAGAAAAAAAAAAGCTATTTTGTAACATAATTCTCTCAGAGCTGACAGCTGTATGTCAATAAAAACCACCACGAAAGTGTGGCTGCTAGCTGTTTCCAAGTTTACTTATTTTTGTCTACAAATCATATTCAAAGAATTGGAAAATTTGGCCGACATTGAAAAGTGGGCAAAGCATTGATCAGTCTAGTCTAGAGGAAATGTGTTTTTTAGTGCGCTGATGAAATAAACCGCTTTGACATGTTGTTCTAAAACCACTAACAGCTGATGATGAAATAGTACTTTTCATTTTCTCTGCCTTTTGTGTATTCTTGTGGTTCTGCATTTCCCGTTAACAGGGGAAACCAGGGACACTGGCATTTGCTTATCAGGAGTAAAGTCATCAGGTGACAGTTTGAGTTATCAGATTAATTTATTGTGATTCTTTAACGTTTCAACATGTCAAAGCCTTGCAGGAACCATGCACCGATTTATCCCTGAAAACAGATGAAATTGGCACTTTAAGACCCAACTAGTAATCTTTAAATCAGAATCATAAAGTGAATCCTGTAGTGAATCTTCTTTAAAGAAGCACATACAGGTATTGCTTACAGCATGAAGGCTTTGTTTTATAGTAAACAAGAAAAGGAACTCTAATGGGTGCTGGTTTGTTGCAGTTAGTGCTGCTACAGCTGAACAAATGATTTAAAGAAACTGAGTGCTGCCCCAGTGAAGCACAAAACCTGTTTAGGCTCAATCAGTACCACCGTGGGTTTCATGTCACTATTGCCCATTGCTGTGTATTTATTTTGTCTGTAGCATTAGCAAAAAATCTCGTGAATTACTGAATAATTTAATTAAACTTTCAAAAAGTAATATGGGGCTTGACATCTATAAGTAATTAACTTTTGGAGTCACTGTGGTTTAAAATGTTTGCAACAGTACAAAACTATAACTGTCCGTTTTACTCAGATTCTGTTCAAAATTAATGTGGTAGTAGCTGAGCATTATCCCCAGCACTTACTTGCAAGCCACTGAGAAACATCCTTGATTGAAATCATGGCACTAGCTATTAAAATTGCTTTTGTTTGTCTGTTAGCAAAATATCTATAAAACTCCTGCTGCCCTTATGTTAAAATCACACATTGGGCATCTGGTTTAATTAAAACCAAGACTCTGTGGGTCATTTTGAACCAAAGGCAGCAGGTAGGTTGAAAAAATTTCAAGAAACTCAAAAGGAAAAAAATAGTATTTTTGGAGTCAACCCAATTTAAGATGATCAGTACAGCTAAACATTACCCTACACGACAAATGGCTTTACTTCAGAGGATTTTACAGATACTGTGCTAAAATCAGGCGTGTTAGTAGCTTATAGTCATTCGCAGAACATAGTCTAAACACAAATAGATCCAACAGATCATGTAACATGTTGCAATATTGCTCCTACTGTAGTTTTAAAGTCTAATCAAAATGGCTACTCCATAATTTCTTAATATAAAACAGTTTTAATGAAAAACACTGGCAGGGGTCAGGTGATATGTAATATAATTACTGAATTATTTATTGAGTTCCTTGCATGATAAAAATAAAACATAAAAAAAAAAAAAAAATCATAAACTGTCCACAGCTTGTGTGTTTTTATTCCAACTAAAGTCTAATAGTATAATATCATAGTATTACTAATTTTCTCCCAGAAGTGGTCATTGATATTAGGGTTTTAATCGTTTGTTGCATGATTACAATATTTAAATCTGCTAACTGAAAACAGAGTTTTCCCTATTAATTTAGTGTTATTTGTGGACACAAAGACAACAAATTATAAACCAAGTTACAGCAAGACTACAATGATTTACTGTTTAGCTTTTATCATAAAAAGAAAAAGTGATCTGGTTTGCTCTAAGCCATTGCACATGTAGGAGAAGGAGAGAAAGGGAATTAGCAACCAACTGTAAATTAGACACTTAATTCTATTTTGGATTATGTGAATGTGAAAAGACATGTGGGACTAATTCCTTGAATCAAGTGTATCCAACCTGAAACTTGCTCTCTTTGTTTTTTATTCTGAAGAAAACCACCACCTCTACACATACGAGCTCTTTGTACTTGAGCCATAGAATCTTTTCCACGCTTTTAAAGTAACAGTTCAGATTGCAGGTTTGCAGATTTCTGCATAATTACAAGAAATCCTTTCTAAGAATTTCAGTGAGGTTCTTGAATCCTTTATTTCCCCCTCAAATGTATGAGCAATTTAGATTGCCAACGAATGAAAAGATAAAGAAAATCTGTAGTTATCTCTGTTGTGAGTTTTGTGCTCAGCTTCATTGGTGGAAATGAGTATTGCCAACATCAGCATCTTCCGTGGCCATTTTACACCTGGTAGTTCTTAAAAAACAACCAGAGACAATTGGGATTAAAGTTTAAAGCACTTCTGCAGGTGATCAATGCTGAATGGATTCTCCCTCCCTGCAGTCATGCTCCTGTCACATTGACATCTGGTGGTGTGCTCTTATTACCTTCTCCCCTGCTCAAAGTCATTTTGTTGCACCAGAAGAGCAAAATGTCTTATTTTGATTAGGAACCAATGATTTTTTTTATGCAGGATGTTTGATTTAGTTACATCAAACTCAGCTCTCTTTGCCCAGTTAGTGTGCTTTAGTCGAACAGGATCAATATCCAAAAAGTTTGTCCCTTTGGTTGGGTTCCACCAACAGAGAGTTGTCCTAATTATTTTTAATTATGGGAAAACTTCAGTTTCAGATCCAGATTTTAGGGTGTTTATCTAAGGCAAGCTGAAATGTGCAAAATAACATGTGCAGATAAATATAATATAATCTGTGCAAAAATATAACCTGAACATAATGAATCAAAGACATGTAAATGTCTACTTGTCCTTCAGTTTATTAAACTTGTACCTGGAAAA